TGTGTGTGTGTGTGTGTGTGTGTGTGTGTGTGTGTGTGTGTGTGTTGCAGTTTCCCTGTTTCATTTGTCTCCACCTCTTTATCTCTATTTTTAACCTTTTTCTTGCAATGATGGACACTTGAAACACATTGCGTGATAGGAGTTTTTTAAAATCAAACTTAAGCAACAACTACGCAGCGATACTCTGTGACTCTGTCACACAAATGCTCTCACACATGCAGCAGACTGTGCTGTAATAAATGTCTTCTTGCCATCAGCTGTCAGTCCGCTGGGGTGAGATATACAAAGAACAGGCAGGAAATGTGTAACTTTAACACTCAAGTATTCATTTTAATAAAGTCACTCTGTTCTATCTGTTTTTGATGCTCACTCCCTCCACTCCTCATAATGGTGCTCTGTGTGTGTGTGTGTGTGTGTGTGTGTGTGTGTGTGTGTGTGTGTGTGTTTTTAAACATTAATGGGTACTTGGTCAGTGCGGATATTCAGGTGGTGCCTCTCCTCTCTTTCCCAGGACAGACTCATGCTGCCAGGGCACGAATCAACATGGCGCCTGCTGAAGGAGGATCTACCCAGACTGGAAGGACTGAAAGCAGAGTCGGGTATCCTTTACCTTCAAGATCCACTACAGCCAATGAACACTGAACACTGAACATAATCCATCATCTACTGTAACATGGGATTATGATTAAATAAGTCGAGGCCTTATAATGTTGTCTTTATAAATACATTAGTTTTCTTAGGAGAAACAAGTGTTGCTTTTCCTTAAATGACCCTACAGATTGGCAAGCGTTATTGGAGGGCTGTAGTCGTCTCTTATCGACTGTTGGTGGTGACGTGCCCGATGAGAATCTGTATAAACTCAGAATGACAGACATGGCTGTAGATGCTTCCATTCACCTGGGACACTGGGAGGAGGCTGTGGGATACGGAGAGAAAACACTTCCAGTATACAGGTGAGTCGGAATATATAAGCGTGTGTGTGTGTTTCACCGATGGATAGCTTTATTATTCTAAAGATTTAAAGGGGGGAAAAAAAACTTCCTCTGCTTTTAAATCTGGATATCCACTCATATATGTGTCTTTTCCTTCCTGATTCCAGTATGAACAGCAATGTGAGGAAAAGGACAAGAGTGACTCATGTGCATCTGAAGAACAACTCCCTTAGTTAAGGCTCACCTGCACAACTGTCTTTACCAATGTAGATCACTTCAAAATGATTACTTTAAAGATCTGGACTGCTACACAATCCTGATGCCTTCATAGTCATCACCAGGCTTCCACACAGCATTGTATGTTATTTTAGACCAAGCTCCATCGTTTTTACCACTCAGACCGATGCATTGGAGAGATGCACTGCAAGGGTAGAATATAATGTGAAAATACCGATCTGTTAAGATCAATGTATCCTTTGCTTGTTTTTGAGTTTGAACTGGAGACTAAGAACTGAAAGCAGCGACTGAGTGTTGAAAGACTCGACAGTGAAGAGATTTCACAGTGTGCTGGATTTGGCTCTTTGACTTGATGAAGGAGGCAAAGATTTCCTTCTGTTATCCCTTTGGAGGGGAAATGCAGCTTCAGAAGGTTTGTTTAGAAATACATGATCATTGGGGTTTGTGGACAAGCATCAGAGTAATGTGTTTAACAGGATATACAACATGATTCCATAAAAAACTATGTTAAAGGTAAAATAATTTGATGAAGATATGTGGCAAGAAAGGGTAAAACATAGCAGAGAGGAGTGTTCAAAGTGGTGACGTTACACAGGGAGCAGATGTAGAGAGAAGAAAATGTGCAGCAAACAAAAAAGTACAAAGAAAAAGAAGAGAAGAAAATACATGGGAAGAGGAGTAGTTGAAGGGGAGAGACCACAACAGCTCTTGTACTTAGCAGACGTAAAAAATCTCCTAAATCTCTTGTCCTAATAAAAGGGGAAATTACTGAAAGCAGATTAATCTAGACCTAAATGAATCAAAGTTTTAGTTTGAACTACTTGTCAGATTACAATAAATTGCATCAACAGTCTTAATTGTCTTCTGGATGAGGTCCTGCAGCTCTCACACGTCCTGACCTCCTCTTCAGTTTGTTTTTCTATCTCTCTCAAACTCAACATAATTCCCGTCAACTTTTGTGTGTGTGTTTGTGTAAGACTAATTGATCTTGTGTGAAGGGCAGAGCTCTAGTGGCATAGCTGTGCTCTCTCTCTCTCTCTCTCTCTCTTTCTCTCTCTCTCACTCACTCACTCACTCACTCACTCACTCACTCACTCACACACACACACACTCACACTCACACACACACACACACACAGAGAGAGAACAAAATACCTGCAGGAGAGAAACAGTAATACAGTCTGTCAATAAATAACCAAACACAGAGCTGCACAAAGAGAGAGATGGTGATGAGGAGAAGGGGATGATAGAGTGGTGACATGTTGCTGAGGATGGAAGTGAGAGAGGGGATGTAAGGTGATAAATGACAAATGAGAGAGGGGGAGAGGGGTGCGGGGGAAGTGAAACAGGGGACAGAATCACAAAGGAGAAGGAAAAAAGTGGTGTAAAATAGAAGAAACAGGAAAACGTGAAAAAAAAACGTATAAAATGAAGAAAGTGGTACGAAAGAGGAGTAGAGGAATGCAGTGAGCATTAACTTGGCAAGGAAGGGAGACAACAATGAAAGAGAAAGAAGGGAAGGAGAGAAAAGCATTCAGAAGGAAATAGTTCGAGAGAGACAGTAGGAGGAAGATGGTTCATATTCATCTCCTATCTTCCTCTGGGCTCTTCAGATGGCAGAGAAGAAAGATAGCTGTAGGAGTTCTCTCTCTCGCTCTCTCTCTCTCTCTCTCTGCTGTCCTTCCCCTCATTCTGTATTCCTTTCTTCTTTCTCTCTCCCTCTCTCTCTGCAGGTCTTTTTTTCAGTTTCTCTATTCAGTTTGTGATGCATAGAGGGGGGTTTTCTCTGCGCCTGTGTGCGGATAATGCACACCTCCCTCTGCAGGCTGTACACGCCAGCTTGTTGAATGTCTCCATGCGGCACATGTTTTACTGATACACACACATACGTGAATGCATGAACGTTCATGTCTGCACGTCAATAAGTGTATTCTGGGACCGCTTACACACATAATGTTGAGCTCCAAAACAGATATTTTGATTGATCTTGTCTCTCTGGAAGCATTTTGTTGTTAGTGTTTTTATTTGTTTTTCTGTGAGTAATTGCCCAAACATAGAAGATGTTTCTTAATATTGAGATTTGCAGGGCGGCACTAATAGAGTAACAGCTAAAAGCTTTCTATGATGTTCAGCTTCCATTCATTTAACCTTTTTTGGAAAGTCCCTCAGAATTAACAAGCAAGGATTTCCGAAATGAATCTATTCAGCAGTTTTGTTGTGAGAAGTCTGTTGCATGACATTTCTGCAGACAGTGGCCTCGCAGGACCAGAGAAGAGCACCCACGCTGTCAGTCTTCATGGATCTGTTGGTGGTGTAAAATCAAAAAGTCTTTTAAGCACCATACACCATTCTCTGGGGAAGACCAGAGTATTTTGGGCAAATTACTGCCTGAAGTCGATCTCCTGTACTGCTTTGAAAAGCACAGACTGATAAACCATGTCAGCGTTTAAGTAATGGCAGTTTTTTCCTTAACTCGTGTAAATGTCAGGGGTCTGGTAGCAGAATGCCCCGAGATGCAATCTGTTTATGTCTGGATTTCAAAATCGGCATTGAAAATGTAAATCCAAGATGATTGACAGGTTACGAAAGAAATTGAAAAAATATATTTCTACTAACCAGAATTCTTACTTTACTTTAGATTTACCCTTAAAATCCTTAGAATGAAACGATGTGAGAGGCGAGCATCCCTCTTAGGTTGAAGTGCTCACAGCTCATAGACATAATGCAACTTTGCATGAGCCAGAAAGTTTAAGAGCCACTAGCCAGTAGATGACTGTGTTACGGTTGCACAGTGCCTCGAGACACTTTCCTGCAGCGTAAAGGTTTCATCTGGATTTGAGGAACAGTTAATGTGTCTGCATTTCTATGGAAAGAAGGGTCGGCTAAATACTGCATAAACTGTGATTTAAAGCTTATGTAAATGTTCTTTGTTTTAGCAACAGATGCACGGCGGTGCTAAGTTTGCTAAACTGTGGAAATGTACTGCAATTACTGTTGCATTGGACAGAAAACAAAATGCAATTAAGGAGAATACTCACAGCTAATCTTTCCTCCCTGTTTTCGTTCTCCTTCAGGTTTCTACTTAGTAAGATAATCCATGTTTCCCTCTCACGAGCAGCAGGCCGTGGATCTTTTGTTCCAAACGACAGCCTCATTAGTTCCACTGCATTTGCATGGAAATGCTACACTTTTCCACAACTATTCATTTCTCCTTCTTGCCCTTTCTCTTACTCATAGCCGAGAGCTATGGCTTTCTAACTAGCTGCATACGGCAAGACCGTTTCTCCCTTCAATTTACTCTCCCGGGGGGGAAAAGGAGGGGGAAATTCAAGATACAGCAAGTTAATGAAATTATTTTAATTGCTGTGTGGTTCTATATGCAAAGAGGAAATATAATTGGAGTTTGGTGTTGATGTGTGTGTTTGCATGTCATGGCAGGTTGAATCACTGGCTTTGTAATTAAATCAATATTGTAACTTGCTGTTATTCATGGAGGACTAATGTTGTTGGTTTAGTGTTTGAACTTCCTATTTAATGATTCAATTCTAACCACAGAAACGGGAGCCATCTTTGTAATTGGTTGGCTTGCCAGTTAGTAGTTAAGTTAGGCTTGAAGGTATGAACAAACGGGCAATTAGCATTGCGAGTAAAAACTCTGCTGGAACATTATCAAAGAAGCCGTAGAGCTTTAAATGATTCTGGCTGTGGCCACTACATGTTAATTAACTTTGATTTCGCTCGCTTCAGAAAACAGATTTTCCCTTTTAAATCAAAGAGTTAAAAAACTTTAAGTGTCAGAAAGTTGCTCTTTTTAGTTCATAAAGAAATAATTAAGATTAATGCTCTTTTAATAACCGATGCAGTGCTATTTGTATTTAAATGTAGATTAATCGAAAGTATACTGAACCGTGTTGTGGTGTGTTTACTCTGGAGAGAAGTGAAATCTGGGAAATACACCAGGTTATACACAGTGAAACGCATTCAAATTGACCCAATCTTAGTGTGCATGCATGCTCATACATTAATGCTGGCGTGCATGTGTGTGTACTCATGTGTCTGTGTTTACTTACAGGTCTCTTTGTCTTATTTGTTTGTTTGTGTGTGTGAGAATGAACGCCAGAGAAAGAGAATGAGCCAGACAAGAAATGTAAATTTGTTTCAATGTGCTTTGTCAGCGAGCTTTTAAATGCCACCTTACAGCGGTTAGATAAGATTTTAAAAAAACATTTCGTTTGTGCAATCAAGAGAAAACAGAGAGAGAGAACAGGAAACAGAGGGAAGACTTAAGGGGGCAGCAGAGGTAGAGTGGGGGAGAGCAATGAATGGAGCGTAGCAGAGGAGAGAAGGAAGCAAGCAACCGACCGAGCGATGACACCAACTCTAATCCCTGCAGCTAGCGGAGCACAAACATAAACAAGTAGGAGCAGAGCAAAGGAGATGTGAAATAGGAAAAGGAAGGAGAGATTAAGGCAGAAGGATGGGGAAGAAAAGAGGATAAATGACAAGTGGAGTCAGGTAAATGAGTGTTTCGAGAACTCCAGTGTTTACCAACAACAAAGCTGCTTCCTAAAAGTCCCCGCTCTGTATTTATCTCTGTGGGACTAAGAGGGTCCCAGCTCTTAGTGTGTGAACTGTCTGAAAAACATGTGTGTTTATGCATTCATGTGGGGTGCACTGTGCGTAACGAAGGTCATTAAACATCAGTCTGTATCACTAAGCCTCAATGCGTATCCATTTGCATTCATGTGTGCATACAAATGGATACACATTCAGTTATCTCATATTTATTATCATTTTTAATTAACTCATTTCAAACTGGCTAAATATATTAGACTGGAAGATAGAAATGTCTTACGTTGTTTGTGTGTGTGTCCCTATGTGTGTGTGTGTGTGTGTGTCCCGTGTGTGTGTCCCGTCTATGATGGTTGTGGGAGTGTCTTGGTGTCAAAGTCATTGATCAGGCTGATCACAATGGAGACACATCCCGAAAGCAACACTCGCTCTTTCTGTATCTTTTTGTGTTGCATGAAGATCAGCTTTTAGGGAAATACAGGCACTACAAGGTGAATACATATGCACAGAAGTAGCACAGGTCATGTGATATACGTGGTATGAGTATATACATATACAGTATGTGTTGGTGTGACTTTCTACATTTTCATTTTGTGCATTTATAATATACATAATATGTGAAGTATTAGTTGTGCTTGTCTGTCTCTCTGTCTGTTGAAGTAATGAAAGGAAGTAATTGAAAGAGCTAGGATGCCAAAAAATGAATATAAACTGGAAACTCAGACACACTAGCATGCAGACACGCCCACATGTTCAATCAGGTAAATCCACAAAAATGGAGAAATGCATAATCCACACTTGCACATACTTTTTTTCTTGTTGTTGTTCAGACTTTCTTTCTCACACACTCCTTGTCACACATCACACCTGTATACAGACACTGACTGCCACTGGCAGAGCGGATATCAAAGTGAATGGTGAAGTGCATATTTTTCAAAGTCTTGCCACCTCGAGCGTAGCCGACACACTTTCATGTAAAAGTGGACTTGATCAAACTTCATCATATAAGGCATGCTGTACCTTGCTTTGACTGTCTTTCTATGGCTGCCTAGGACGGTTTAAAGATCTCAATATTTCCATGGCATGTGGAGTTCAAGGACGGTGCCTGTGGTGGTTCCCGATTTTTTTAAAAATAGGACCAGAGAGTGTGCTCCGATTATTGGGGCATCGCGCTGCTCAGCTTCCTCTGGAAAGCTTATGCCGAGGTGTTAGATACGAGATTGAGGACGATTGTTAAATCTCAGATTCATGAGGAGTGTTGTGGAATTCATATCCTGGTCATGCAACATCGAGCCAGGTCTTTACTCTTGTGAGGATACTTCAGGGGTCATGGGAGTTTCGCCATCAAGCCTACATGTTTTTTAATCATGTCCCCCTGTGTGTCTTGTGTGGAGAAGCCTTCCAGCGGTGTAGAACCAGAGGGAGGGCTGTTTCTGCATTTTGGCAGTAAATCATGATTGATCTTCCAGGAGGAGCTGGAAGATAGGGCTCGAAGAAAGGATGCCCGCTAACACCCCATGACCTGGGCCTGGATAAGTGTCAGAAAATGAATGGCACAATTGATGGATAATACAGTACAGCCCCTAAAATCAGATAGTCTGATGTAATGTAATAGTTTGTTATTTATAATTCTGTTTTGTTTTACAAGTAGAATTAACAGCTCTTGAATGAGCTCAATGATTTTCTTAACGGTATGTAGAATGTTGAGGCAGAAAGCAAAGGGGAATTAGAATTGCAATAACGAAGAGGATGCCAGAAGAACAAAAGGAGTAAATACAGTATTATTTATTCAAATGAAGGGATGTCACCACATATGAACAGTTAAAAAAAACATTTAACTCATAGATATTGCCATGACACCTCCCCATTTGATGACTCACATTCAGACAATTATTGTTCTGAAAATGTATGTTTAAGTATTCAAATGAGGAATTATCTAATGCTAACTTTTGGTGAATTTAGAAGAAGTTTGGACTCAAATAGATGTAACAGAAGTAAAATAAACACTTAAATGTGTATTTTGGATGTTTCTTTCCAAGAGTCTGAAAGAAGACGTGTAATGGAAGCAAAATAGTCTGAGTGCATGAAAAACAATGTTTTTGCCTCGAGTGTCTCCCTTTAAATTGAGAGATCTGTGCAAAAGTTGCACCAAGCCAACAGAAAACCTCTTTCACTGATGTCTTACCATCTTCCCTTTCTCTCTTCTCTCTTCTCTCTGAAGCCAATACTACCCCGATCCTCATCCGGTCCATGGGGTCCAGCTGATGAGAGTCGGAAAGCTGCAACATTACCTGGAACATATTGAGGACGCTTTGGACACATTCAAACAGGTGCGAGGGATGAAATACTGACAAACACCAATTGCCAAAGTAAAAGCATAGTGCTCTTTTGTACAGCGATAATCTACTTCCTTATAGTTTTATCCGTCACTCATATCAGTTATAAGATTTTCCTCACTGAGTTAATGGACACGGTCTTGAGACGTGTAACAAAAGATGTGATTGGACAGGTCGGGCAATTATTTTATTGTAACTTTTGTTTACAAAGTTTCCTTTTTAAACATCTATTAGATTTTGCAGAGTATAGCATCACGGTTCAACTTCCAACTACAGCACATTACTATCCCACATCGTTCTAGCAAGAGCAGAAATGACAGCTAAGATGCTCATTAAGAGTGTTTGATTCTCCTTTCCCAGGCCTATCGGATCATCAAGCTCACCCACGGGGATGATCACCCAATGACCACCGATCTACTGATGAAGATGGAGGAATGTCGCACTGAGATGGTTCGACAATCATCAAGCAGTCACTGAGACGCAGCTACAAAACAAAGAAAAAGAAATAGGACTGGACTCATGTTCATTTAATTTAGTGGACTAACTTCACTTTCTGTCTTAATTTCTTAAAATCTCAATGTTCTTAGTGTATCAATCAAATCCAATCATCAGATTTAGGAGATAAACAGAATGTAGAGAAATATACATTTTGCCTTCTGTAAATTATATCTGTCATACATTGAAATCGGTGTGTTTGCAGTCTGATTTTATATTATCTTATATTGTTTTTCAGAAGTTGTCTTGTTAAAATGTTTTGACCCCTCATTTTGTCAAAACTGAAGGAAAATAGTTAAGATTTGTTATACCCAGATTAAAAACACAAAAGTCTGCAGCAATGCAGCTAAGTGAGGCTGCACTCGGGGCCCAGCGGTGCTTTGAACTATAAGCTAGTTTAGCATGCTAATATGTTAGCATGCTAATATGTGGTGATTAGCACTAAACACAGAGTAACGCTGAGGCTAATGAGAATGTCTTTAGTTTTGGGTTGAAGTATTATGATCCAGGCACATTAACAGAGAGAATAGTATTTGTCATCCAATATACTGTAAATTCCTTTAAAGGAATAGTTCAACATTGTGTGAATGATTTTTATTTGCTTTCTTTTTAGGATTTGAGATGAGTAAATATTACAGAGTTATATTTGTAAGGCGATTAGCCAAGCTTAGCATGATGTAACAACTGGAAGTAGAGGAAACATCTGTTCAAGGTTGAAAACTACAGCAAGCACTCACTTATGAATTATTTTCTCTGTTCAATTTTATTGACATACAAAGTAAGCGGTCGTGTGTGTGTGTGTGTGTGTGTGTGTGTGTGTGTGTGTGTGTGTGTGAAAAAGAGCATGGAGACCTGTAGGCCTCTGTCTCCTGCATTTAGTCTTCATGTACCATCGGTGTGTGTTTTGTGTGTGCTGTTTTTGTCAGGTTTCAAAACATCCATCTTTCCTCTATATATATCCTTTACACACACTTCCCATGTTAATCCCTGTTTTGTGTGTTAAAAGTTAATCCCTGTGTCTGTGATGGAATGTGGTGATGGGTTTCTCTTACATACACACACACACACACACACACTAATACACTTCCTATGTTAATCCCAAAAGTCTACCGTTCGCTAACTGATGACAGTATTTCCGCTGAGAGGGAAACCCTGTGTGTGTGTGTGTTTCCGTGGGTTATGGGGGACTAGAAATTCGTTTGATATTTAGGTTTCCAAAAAGGTTTTGGTTTTCTGAAACTTGCTCTCTCAGCACTAGAATAGCCGACATGTTACAAACCCCAAATCCTTCATCCGTCCTGGATAAGTCAGCAGTAAACTATTCTCTGGTCATTACTATTCAGCATAAAACAATATTGTATTTATGTTTTTTAAATTATTGACAATAATTACAGAATTACAAAAGTTATGGCAGTAACATGCTCTTTTAATTTCCCCCTGCTGATATGTGTGGAAGAAAAGAGAAAAGGCTTTCATTGATGCTATCTGGAAGAGACTAAATGAAATGAATGTGAAGATTGAATGGAGTCGTAATGAAACTAGTGGACTGAATAGTCTGTGGAAGAGTCAGTCCTGCTGTACAACACTGCTGTATACCTCCATTACTCACTTCATTGGCTCTGTTGCTTTCTGTCTCTCACCCTTTCTCCTCTTGCACATCTTAACGGCCATTAAATTAGATTTACTATTGCTTAACCATAACCCTCTGTCACTCACTGTCTCTCTCCCCCATTTCTCTCTCTCTCACTCCCCAAAGGCTTTCAAATTAAATTCCCTATTCATTGGCATCTCTCTCTCTCTCTTTTGCTGCACATCTCTGCAGGCAGCCCGAGCCAATCACAAAAAGGACACCTAGTGGTTTTAACCCATCTCCATTCACTCACCCTTCTGCCATTTGCTCTCCCCCATTTTCTATTTTCACTCTCATTTTGTAGACACCCCCTCTCCCTGTGTCTCCCCCTGCGCCACCTCACCTCTGCACTCTCTTAACTCTCCCTGCTATCATCTCTCATTTTCTCTCCCACTCCTTCTGTATCTTCAAGACTTCTCTGTCCATTCTTATTATTTTCCACAATCTTAAATCCAAATGTAAACCAAACACCTAAATTGGAACCTGCCGTCACTCCCAAATTGATTGTCAGGTCTCATAAAGGATCTACATTGGATGACAGCGAAATCTGTGTAATTCTGTTTAAGGTTTTGTAAAATATCTGCATGTCAAATTGTATAAAATAATAAATTGAGTCATTAATAGGTCAGAATCACGTCGACTTTCCTCTCCCCTCTCAGCTGCCTGTTCCAAAGAGATGCCGCTGTTTCAACTTATATTAACAGCCAGAGACGGTAGATTTTATCCCCGGTATCACTTCTCGATTATCTTCCTGTGTTTCAGCGTTCTGTGATAAGGAGTTGAAGGATATTACCATATATTCATGAGTAATCTCACCTTAGAATGAAATGAAAAAGCTCCACATAAACCCCACATCTTCACCACGTCCTCATCACCTCTCCATCTTTCTTTCATCTTTGATTGGGCTTCTTCATAATCAGAGCAAGCTCTTAAAACCAGACCGTTGAGCTGAAGGGTAACTGCCTATATTGCAGCTTCCTGGACATCTTTAAACTTTACAGTGAGTCCTTGTTGGACTGAAAGTCGCTTGTTTCTTTTGTAGTGATTTTAGCCATGACAGCGGCATGTCTCTAGGGATGTTGGTCGGTCAGTCGGTCCACCACTTTACTCCAGACTGGATGATTACCATGAAATTTGGTACAGACATTCCTGGTTCCCAGATAATGACTCCTTCTGACTTTGATGACTTTAAATCTAGCGCCACAATGTGGTTGAGATTTGTGGTTTTGAGTAAAACGTCTCATCAACTATTGGATGAGACTTTTTTCATTAAATAGAGTTCGGTAACTTTTCTGACACCTCCTGCTTAAAACCCCAAAAGTCAGAAGGATCATGAGGCCCTGCTTTCACAGTCTGTATTCATACTGAAAATCAAGTCATTTTTCTTTGTCCGGGCACATTGAAGTGGTCTAAATCCATACCAAGAAGATTCACTTGTATAAAACAAGATTTCCTCAAGACAAAGGCTAAGTGGGCCTAATAATTATCACCAATCTCAGCAACAACATTGAACAATTTAGCATGAAAATTTGTCTCGCTATCTTGGGCAGGAAATTAAACTTTTAACTCTTGCCAAGTGGATGAGTGGTGAGTTCAGAAAAGAGAGGAATAGACCGATGATCGTAATATTATTTGTCCAAATTTACCCAGGAGATCAGTCTATTACTATTTTCTAAATTGAATGTTGTTGTTTTTTCCTGAAATGAATCCACTTGTCTCTGTATTTTGTCCTCCCCAACCTCACCCATCTTAACTCTCCTGCACCGTTTCAGCTCTTCTTCACCGTCTCTCTCCTCTCCCACTCTTCTAAAATGTAATCCTTTACTCCAAATCTTTCTCACGTCTCCCTCTTACACTGCATTTCCTTTTGCTACCTTTTTTCTCCTTTCTTCTCATCTATTCTCTCCCGCTCTCCCCCATTCCTTCCTTCACCTCCTTCACCTCCTTCCTGTTCCCTGCTGTGCGTGGGTGATCAAAGCAGGCGCAACGGGGCAATATGTCGCCTTGGAAGCTGCCTAGAGGCTAGTGAAGGTACGCACACACACTCTCTCTCTCTCTCACCCTCACACACACACGCACACACTAGCCTGCATCACAGGATTATAGTTACCAATCAAAGTCAGCTGACTGAGACAAGAGGCTGCAGTGGAAATAGTTTCTCTGAGCTGATCAGTCTTTTTTACAATTCTGTCGAAAACACAGGAGCAACAGGGTTCAGCTCGATCGAGCAGAAATAACTAGATCATCACAAATTCAAAACATCCCTGAATAAACAATGAACCATTCAAGTTCTTGTAATCAACACAAAGCTACTTGACAGTCTCATATCTATTTAAATGCTGCACATGCACAGAGGAACCAAAAACAAATATATGATGTAGAAAAAAAACACATTTTGATGAGATTACTAAAATGTGTAGTAAAACCTCATGATGTCTATTTCAGCAGAAGTTGTTAAATTGGCAATAACTTCACTGAGCAAAGAGCCTCCATATTCTGCAGTTACCTGGTTCATCTTTGTTTATTAGGAGCAATAAAACATCGTCCATTAGCTGCCTCTTTTAAATGCATAATGTGTTAGTCATAATGCAAAATGTGGGCATTTCATGCCATTGACTATATACTATGTTCAAAGAATGAAGACTCGGATGTGAAAATCTTTCGATACATTTCTTTATTTACATCCCTCCATCTTGCTCTTCCATTAACACAATGTGTCAGGTCACATTTCTCAAAAACAGTTCATCTGCAGAAGACATGATCTCAGTTTTGAATCATGGAAACAACACACAGTGAAATCTTCACTTGTTTACACTGAGCGTGTCTCTTAACGGGTTATTCTAATGGGAAATAACTCCTTCTTCTTGGCACTTTAAACTGACACACAAACTGGCTGTCATCAGTTGTGTAGAGATTTTGTCTTAAAACTGATAAGAATTCAAATTGTCTTACTGCTACAGATAAAATCAGTTTCTGGAAAATATGGTCTGAGACAGACTTCAACACACAATACTGCTTAAGAACCTAAAGATGCTATGTGTCAGATTTCCAGATAGCACGTTATAATTCCTGAACGCTCCAGTAAAACATGCAGCACATTCGTCAATTTGTTCATTTGACTGTTTGTTCCGTTGCCCTCCAACCTTCCATTTTTGTGAGTCATTTTATTTAAAGCACCTGAAAATGAGTGCATCTCTTTTAGCATGGCTGCCTCTGATGAAAAAGGCACCTTTATTCAGCTTACATGGACTATGATGTTAATTATTGCTGGAATTATAAAGCGCTACCACAGTAGATTTGGCAGTGACATATTAAGGACAAAACCTCACACATAGCATCTTACATCTGGATAAAAGTACAGGCCATTTAGCTCATCCAGAGGTTGGGGTTCCCAAAACATCCACTGCTAATGACACTAGGCTGTAGTTAGTACTGTAGGATAAAAGTACATTTCACTTAAAACAACACTGTTTTCTTCCTCACGTGTAAAACATTTGCCATTATTTTTAAGTTTTGATCTGGAGCCACATAACTACCCTGGAAGTGAATGTTTTAGGAAACCCAAAGCCCATTAAAATCACCAACAGGAACAACAGGTGCAAACCAAATCAACAGAAAATATATAAAATAAAAATGAGCGTATATATGATATGTGTACAGTATATATATTTTTATATGACATGGGCTCAGCAACGTATGTACAGTTGTTTTTTTCTTTTCCTTAAATGCATAGTCACTTTTTAATATCATAAGTTGTAAATAAATAAGAACATTAATAATTGACTCTGCTCTCCCGAGCTCAAATAAATAAACCTTCATTCATGACTGGCTCGGTGAACTGGGAGATAAGAACAGGAAGCGTTCAGAGGTGTCGCACCAGGGCTGCTGTGAAAACGCTTCTTAGGTCCAGTCGATCAAAAGCATCTCAGTTTCTGGGCTAATTTCCCACTAGATTATCTTGTTGCTGTCACTGCAAGTGTACACCACATAGAATTAATGAGTGTTACCTCTTTACACAGCCATGAGAAGATCCAAACATTAAAAGTAATTTCCTGTTTCTGTGTTAGTCCAGTGGAAAAGATCAAAACGGAGTTTTCTCTATTAGGATAAAGATAAATGTATCACTTTGACAAATCATACCGCTATTACAGTCGGTGTCTAATCCTCCTTTTAGCTCTCAAACAACAAACAGAATCTCCCATAATGCTCTCTGCTTGCTGGGCAGAAGACATTCAGAGGGGGGGGTGAAAAACAGACGTGATGACAGCGATGTAGAAGAAGCATTCAAAGGGTATTGTTCTGTATTTCAAGGAAACGGGCTCTTTCATATATTTATATTTGTACAAACATTTAGATCATAAACATCTCAAGCACCATAGATGATAATATTAACAAATCTTAAGAGTTGCTATCCGTCCAAAACAAAAATGGAACCAGGCAGAGATCTATGCCTCTTAATTTGGCCATTATCCTTTTCTTTCTTTAGTTCTCTTTCATTCCTTTATATATCTTTTTTTTAATTGTTGCTTTATCATGTATGTGTCCTTTTAATAAAATAACTATAATTGTAGTCCCATGTAAGTATTTCCAGTCTAAATTCACTACTTTGTTCCAATAACACAGGCCTTTAAAAAAGGACATTTAACACTCTATATCAATGGGCTTGTCTCGCGCTTGTGTATTGTGTGTTCCTTACAATTTACTCTGAAACATCTCTTTAACCCTACTTCCATTCTCTTACTATCATACATAGTCTCTACATGGTCCCATTGCACTCAAATAAAAAAGGATACCTTAATATAAAACACACACATTGACAAATCATTCAGTTTCTTTTAGAATAAAGCAGAACAACACGGATACAAATAACAGACAGTCTGGCTGTCAAGTCAATCGATGGATCGGAGAAAACACGTTTTCATCTCCACTCCTATGTGACTCAGACGTTTCATTGCTTTGTGAACATGAACAAGCCATCGCATCTGCATCAGGAGAAACATGCTGTATGTATGCCCCAGAGGGTCAGAATTCAGATGCTCAGATTCAGGTGCTCTGTTTGTAGGTAAAGTCGTAAACATCGCCACAAAAAATGGCGTTTTTTTTCTTTGTTTGAACACACGTTACTCTTGTGTTCTTGAAAAATCATGTACGTTTTTCAAATTGGATATTTGGTCCTCACCGAGGACTTGTTCTATGTTTTGTAGGTCTTCTTTAACTCTTTTTATTTAGTTTAAATCTAGTCTCATCTCTCATCATTGTACCAAAGACCATTCAAACATACAGTATTAGTTTGTTTATGATATAGTGAAACATTGACCGACAGTAAAACATCATGGCTATAAATTGAAAGATTTCCCAAGGACGCTGATCTTTTGTGGGGTTTTTCTATGCTAGCACCATACTCACTGCATGTACACAAATTCAGAGAGAAAGAGAATTGGTCTTGGTATTGTTGAAATGTTCGCAAGGCACTTATCTAAATCATTTTTCTTTTGTCCTCCTGCCTTTCTCTTGGTCAGTCTCTTTTAATAACTGCACAACAATACCAGGCCATTCTGTAGTCAGCACTCTGTGTTTGAACTCTAAAAAGTGCTCTTCTAAAATGATGTGAGATGAGAAATTGTTCATCTCCTCTCCTGCACCTCTTCTTTATCCTTCTTTGTTTAAAAAATGGTCAGTTTTTGTTCGACTTTCCGCTCCTTTCCTCTCAACATTCCTAAATGTCTGAACAGTGTAATTATTCTGAATCTCTAGAAACCCACATTCTCTTGGTTATGTTTGATGTTTCTTCTCAGAATCATCTGTCTGCCTCTTTGAGCAGCCATATTCATCTGATTCAAAGTGGCCCGTTCATTAGATGCTGTTCAATATCTGTGTCTGAGGTTGTTTCCAAGCCCCGAGAAAAAAATAAGGACTCATCTGTCTGTTGGCCTGTTAAATATCTATCTCTATTCTCTATTTTATCCCTCCAGCTTTTCGTCCACCTGTCCTTCTGCCTACTTTCATCTGGAGGAGACTTGAGGATGACATGCAGGATCGAGTGGTCAGTCATCCCTGTATCCCTCCTTGCAATTATCCAGTCATCTGATGAGATGTATCTGTGTGGGAGATATTTTGTAAAAGTGTTTGATTAATCGGTGGGCATATGGTCCAAAGGGCGTCATCTAATTGAGTCCAGCTGTGTGTCGGCCTCTCCGTCCTCCAGCTCTCCATCTGTCTACCGATGTCTCGAGGACACGTCGAAGCAGGTGATCATCATGAGGTGGGCTTTGCAGAAGTTGACTCGGTTCTCCAGTTTGTCTGTCACTGTCTCCAGAGCCTCCAAATACTCCAGTGAGTCTACTTCGTAGGCCTGTTGTAGCTCAACTGAAAATGGACAGACAAGCAGATATAAAGATGACATACTTTGCTCCAACAATGCTCTATGTCATTTGTTTATGAGTATACAACCCATTTTAAAGTCTGATGGTATTCTATCTTTTTCTTATTATCAACAAATTCCATGAAAAGACCAAAAACTAGCGATTCTATATGTAGCCGGCTGCCATGTTTCTACAGTAGCCCAGAGCAGCCAAACCAAACACTGGCTCTAGATAGGGCCATTTGCGTTTTCATGTTTTAGCTTCGGCCGCTGTAGTTCTCCTATACACGCTTGGCAAATCCTACACACTCCACCATTAAATACCTTCCTTTTAGACAGCAAATCATATATTTAAGGAATGGATTGAACAATTGTTCTCTTAACAAACAAAAACAAAGCCTTTGGATGAGTATTACCTACACAATCTGAATATATTAGTGCTTTTGAATTTCAACAGGCAAGAAACCTTACAGCTAATATGCTTGATAACTTATGATATGGATTAGATTACATGATCAGGCACACACACACAGAAACAAATACACACTCCCTGATGTGTCAGACTCCTACTTACACTCGGTCGTCCATTTGTGCGGCTCCAGCATCAGGTGCTGTTTGGTTTGTTCCAGCTCCTTCTTCAGACACTGGTACTTGGCTCTGACTTCACTGATTCTCTGCTGACGGTGTTCCAACAGACGGAGCTTGGCACTGACATACACCACCTCCTGACACACACACACACAGAGAGAGAGAGAGAGAGAGAGAGGCAGATATGGATTTTATTCACCTTTTATTTATCTGGAGGACTCTGTTGTGAAACACATGTGGCTCTCTTTCAGCAGCAGCCTGCTTAACATTCACACAGTTGCATACATTCACACCTCATCGACCCTTCAGTGTGAACACAGCCGAGTGCTTTCGGACACTGAGCAGCTTCACTGGAGCAGTTGGGGGTTAAGTGGCTTTCTTAAGGCCTGCTGTAGGGAAAATCTATATTTCATGGTTTTCTCTCCCACCCTCGCTCCCAAAGCTCACAATGCTCCCTCCTCTGAATGCATAAAGGTTGAAGAGTGGAAACCTAAAAACCTGCGCCATGCATTAATTTGCAACAATTTCACGAGTTTCACAGAAAAACTCTGTATTCTGCTAAGTCTGGGGAATTTTTAATAAATTCTTAAATTAAGTAACACAGAGAGAAATGGTAGATTTATTTAAAAGAAAAGCTCCCTATTCATACAGAACGTAGTGCTAATGTTGATTCATTCATTTTGTGAAAATCCTTACTTGTTTTTTCAAGTCTCTTTCCACACACGTACAGTAACTCATGTCTATTTCCTCTCGTTCTCCTCCAGCAGCAGTATCCAACAGAAGAACACTTTTTGCTTTTTAGTGTGTCCCACAAGTATTATTCATCAAATCAATTTCTTTGACATCAAGTGCAATATGGCTCCTGCCCTCTGGGCCTCTTTCTCTGCTCTTTGGCTCTCCACCTTCTTTAATTATCTCCACACATCCATCCCTCATTCTCCTTCAGCCTACCACCATACAGTACATTCTCCTCACACACTTTCTCTTTCTTTAACCATTACATGCTTTGTTTGATCCTTTTTTGTTTCCAAATACACTTCCACACTGTTACCCTCTCTTTCTCCCTCTTTCCCCACTGTATGTGAATGAGATCCTTTTACCTGTGGAGATTGGGGAATTTCAATCTTCTCTGTGCCTGCCATATTTGTAATTCTCACATCAAATCCTCCTTTACCTGTACAGCCGGTGAAAACAACCTGAGGTAAATCTAGACCCATCTGAATATTGACATCCACACAATTGTGGGGAAAGCTGTGGTGTAAAATATATTTGAAGAATGTTCACATTCTACCTGTATTTTATTTAGGATGAATGCACTTGAAGCACTTTACAAACTGAAGATTAAAATCCTAATTGTGTTTCCAGTTGTAATTGTTAAAGTGCATCACTATCAATGAAGCATCATGTGGATCAGGTTTGTTTCTCCCTTCTCTCTCTCACCTTGCCCCCTCCTTTGTCTCTCCTCTTCTGCAGTCGCTCGACATCATCTATCTCATACACCTTGATCTCAAAGGTTTCTGCCGTTGCAGTCGCGCCACGGAGGTTTGAGGGAGTTGGGGGCCCCAGTGGACCATCTACCCAGCATGCACCTGGGCTGGAGGAGGAGGAGGAAGAGGAGGTGATGGCCTGTTTGGAGGAGCGGTGAGAAGGTGAGGAGGAGGAAGAGTCCAAGGTCAGTGCTGGGATCAGACGACGACGCTGCAGGCCTGAAAGAAAAAATATGGAGGACCATGAGGACAAAAGAAGTGTGTTACACACCGCCAGAGTTTATCATAAAGTTCCTTATTCAGTTATTGAGTGTTGTTCAATGCTTATTGTAAATGTGTCTTTCTTAAATTTTTCGAAAAGTGATGCATTGGAAAAAGTGGTGGATTTTGTCAGTGGCTGGTTTTCATCAAATTTAAAGGGAAACTCTATCCTTCAACGGACCTGATAGCCATTTCAACCATAAACCAGTGCGCTACACCACTCAAACTGCTTTAGCACGGCTTAGCTTGATACTAAACTGAACTGAATTTACTACACGCAACCAAAAAATACTCAACTAGCCTACCGTAAATCAACAAGTTGACATTTTTACTTTGTCAGTTCTAATTAAACAAATGGGATATAACGTCTTAATCAGTGACCATTGAAACTGTTGGTAGGCTGTAGGCTTTGGACAGAGCCAGGCTATCTGTTTCCAGTCTTTATGCTAAGCTAAGCTAACGGCTGCTGGCTGTTGCCTTATATAGAACAGACAGATATAAGAGTGGTATTGATCCTTCATTTATATGACGGCAAATCAATGTCAAGATCCGCAAACACAAATGAGATCCACACACACGCATGCACGTGTGTGTTTGTGTGTGTGAAGGTCCCGTGCCTGCAACTCAAACAGTGTTTTTTAGTAGCAGATTGAAAACCATCTTTATACTGCCACCTAACAGCCATGTCGGGAATGATATCCGGCCAATCCAAAGACGAGGATTGTAACCAATTCAATTTAGTGACACAGTGGTGAGTGGGTCCGCCCACTTACTGTCAAAAAGAAAAAAACACAGTGAAAGCTTTACGAGCAGAAGAGCAGTGATAGAAGTCGTGCACCAGCAGACGCTTGTCGCCCTCAAAGCATGGTTTTCTCCTTTCAATTTTGCTCACGTGAGAGTGATGTGAAAGCGCTGTTTGAGTTGCACGCACGGGACCTCTACACACGCATGCGCGTTGATGTCATTGGAGCCGATTTTGACATTGACATCTAACTCTCTGCAAGGAAGTGCATTTTGCAAAATATCAAACTTATGCTTTAATTTAACATGAGGATTACATGGTTTATGGGGTTACAGAGGACCTTTCAAGATGAACATGTAAACAGACAAGCTGTGTGATAATAAATCTATCTACAGCCATACAGTAGATAGAGCACAACTTAAGTGTCCTTGCGCTCAACAGGGAACCCCTATTTGTTCACTCTTTACCATTTGCTTTGCATCAGAGTGAGTCACTCACAGAGAAAAACAGGAAGATAGGGCATAGAGATCATGGGTGGTAGAGGAAAGAGGGGGATATGGATGAACAACTGGAGAGAGGCAGAAAGGAAAGGACAAAGGAAAAGTATTGACTGATTGAAAAAGCAGAAAGGGAACTAGAAACAGATAATGGAGTGTGAAGTCAGATAAAAAGTTTAGTCTCTGTTCATGAAGCTCACAGATAAGAGCAGCAGGTCACTCTAATCTGCCCACAACGCTAGAATGAACACACACATTCATACATGCACACACGCTTTGCATAGATATTGCCAGCTATGTAGGAATGAGAGTTATCTGATTCACTAGGAACTGAGAGAGAAAGTGTGACGGAGGAGGGAGAGAGTGGTGATTTTAATAAGGTTGCAGCTGTCTTTTGATCTCATTGTGGCACAGGAAGGTCAAGCAGAGACATTAGTTTTTCATTAGGAAGCGGATTATAAGAGGACAGAGAAAGAATAAGGGTCCGCAGGGGGGAGAAGGTGCAGGGGGAGAGAGCTGGACACATGTGGGAGAGGAATAGATGAAAAAAGACGAGGAGAGGTAGAGACATGGCATATTATTTTTTTAGATCATTATTGAATCCAATCTAATGGAAATCAAACATGAAGGGAGAGTCAACTGGAGATGTGATTAAAATTCCGGTCGCACTAACATCTTCACACATTGCTTCAGTCTGTTGCACATCTGTCTGTTGTTACTATTTTTATTCTGTCTGCCTGAATTTGGACTGAATTGTTGTATCCATCTTGGACATGTGCAACAAACACAGACCATCCTCTCTGTCTTCTTGTGATAGTTTGACAGTGAATGCTCTCTGAGAAGTTTGTGGTTTTAAGCAAAATTAGATTAAATCCAGACTTTATGCTGCATGGCAGAAGGGGAGACTGCATACTCATGTATGGAAAGGGTTACTCCAATTTAAATTATTTTTCAGAGACACACCAGGAAGAGCTGCCTCTGTCCAATCTAATTTTATGCACATATCCATCCTCGTGGTTAACCAGTAGAGTGTAATGTGGCGGGCACATTAGCAGCCTCTCTGTGTGCTGTTCTGGTGAATATATATTCATTACAGCCCACACCAGCAGATTCCCTTTAACATTTCACAGATGGGTGGTCAGGGTCACCTTTCCTACCTGCTAACTCCTTCTGCAGCCACAGCTTCGTTCACTTTTCCCTGACCCGTTCAGTGCTTTCTCATTTTGCTTTTTCACCGATGGATTCTCCTCATACAAGTATTTCTTGTTGTTTCTGTCAATCCTTAATTTCTTAGCATTCTATTTTCTTTTTAAAAAGCCTTAGCAGTCTTCTGACCACATTTTATCAAAGCTTTCACCTCTATAGATTTCAAAATACAAAAATGATTTATGATACTTTTCAGTTCTAAAAGCTACAGTACGTGTGCATGCTGAAAGTGGGCAAGAAATGAATAGATATCGAGAACAGAATAAACTCAATAAGAGTGGTCATCTTTGCATGTGGCATTGGGAATGTGTTCACTGATTGAGAAGTTAATTAAAAAGTAAGCTGATCCCCAAAATGATATATGCCTTTCTTGTCATCCTCCATGATACTCTAAAATCCAATTAAATGACAACGTCATATCAGCAGTAGTTAGAAAATAGGTTTGATTGTGACCTGTGTTGCTCCGGCTCTTCTTGCTGCTCTTGGAGCTCCGTCTAGAGGAGGTGGTGGCTGAGCTGTGCTCACTGAGGGAGTCCTGGGCGGAGGAGGTACTTCCTGTGTTCTCGCTGCTGTCTCTCAGCATGCTCTCATAGCCACTGCTGCCTCCACTGTGGTAAAACAGGGCTGTTTTCCCCATGGCTGGGGGGAGCTCGCCACTCAGTACGCTGCTGTTAGAGGCAGAATGAGATCACAGTTGAAGGTAAAATCAAATGTTTTAACCAGCAAAAATTTAGATTTTGACATTTCTCAGGGACAGTGAGATCATACCTGTTGTCACTAGCATGGCCGCTGCTGCAGCGGTGTGGTTTTCTGGGAGCTGTGATCTTGCTGTAGGGTGAGGGCAGCGTTTGGACCACTGCTGTCCTCTCCTCACCCGGACCACCTCCACTACCACCTCCACTACCACCTCCACTACCACCTCCACTACCACCACCACTACCACCACTACTTCCTGCTCCAGTTCCTCCTCCACTGAGAACAGAAAAATAGGATAAATTATTACAGATTATTTTTGGAATTAGTTTTAATGCCATTTTGTCTGTGTTAGTTGATAATGCACAGTTGAGCAGAGGGAATGAAGACACTGATGGAGGCAAATTTCGCGACATGCACCATGAACCTTCAGGATTTAGTTATGCATGCTGTTGTTGATGATATTCTTACATACATGGTTTCTGTACTACCACTGCCTAGAAACTGTCACTGGCGCATCATATTTATTGTCATGTAATGAACTCAATTCATATATCATATGTATTTTTTTAATTTTGTCCTACTAAATGCCTGAAATGTAAAATGAAATAAAGTAAAACTGACTAACCTTGCCCCTCCAACTCCTCTGTCCTCTGCTGGATCTGTGCCACCTCCCTGGGCATGACTCCTGGAACGGGAGCCTGCACTTCCCTGGAGGAGCTCTGAGATTCGACCGTTGACAGCCCGGAGAGGCAGCTTGGCAGCCAGGCTTCCCCCTCGACTGCGGCTCAAAGACTGGGTAGACCAGGATCCAGGGGAAGGTCCCTGCTGCTGCAGAGCGCCCTGGACTGAGCTCTGGGGCTGAGGAAACAGATAAATTGCTTAGGTGGATGTAAGGAGAAACGGAGGCCATGATGACTTGAATTACTTGCATTAAGTACGATGGTCTCGCAGTCATTGTTAAAACTGTTTGGTTCGTCTAGTTTAGTCTTATGAGCCGAATCATGTAGTTTATTGCTGTTAAAAGTGTGTTCATTTACAGTAAAGAAATATTTGTTCCTACCTTTCCATTAGGAGGAAGGCTGGAGCTGCGGCTGGAAGCTTGGCTCAAAGACTTGGTGGAGAAGCTCAGAGTCTTAGTGCTGGATGCAGACAGACTCCTGGCCTTGGGACTGCTGGTCATCAGCAGCTTACTGACTGCTGAGATCTTTGACTGGGTGCTGGTTTTGGCAGGTGACTGTGGAGCGCTGCTTGGACCGGGACTGGCACTGACACTGGGGCTGCTGATGTTTCCAGTTGGAGAAGATACTGATCCAGCACGGGTGAGGCTGCGCCCAGTGCGAGGCATGGTGCTATCCCCCCTCACTTCTCCTCCTCCCCCTCTCAGGCTCCCCCCTCTCTCCAGAGAGAAGCAGTCGTAGTGGTGGGAACCACTGTGGGAGCTGTGGACCCGACCCAGAGAATTGGTCCTGTTTGCAAGCTGTTCCAACTTGGCGCTGAAGAGCCTGCTGCTGTCTATGCTCGAGCCTCGTTGTCTGGTGATCCCTGCATCATCTGCCGAGATGCCCGGCAATGACACTCCGTGGCTGGGTTGGTGGAGAAGGCTGGCTGCCCTGTTCCGCTGGTCAAGGCTGGACTTCCGTATTGGTGGCAGAGGTGGGATTCCCCCCTTCTTGTGGGAGAAAAAGCCTAGTTTTACAGTTGATCCTCGGCGGTCAAGTGTGGCTCGAGGACTGCAGGGAGTTGAAGTGGTGACACCGAGATTACGGTACTCGTTTCCATTGTCCAAGCCGTCGTGGCGGTTGAGACGGTGCCATCCGCGGGGAAGACTGGCAGTACGGTGGATATCTGGGCTGTAGATACTCGTCAGACATTCTCCCTGGGCAACAATGGCCACCATCTCACAGCCATCCACCACTCTCTTAAAGGAATCTGGAGACGACACAATCTCACCACCTGAACTAGAGCTGCCATGATCCCCACCTGGTGATGGAAGAATAGCAAATGATAAAGAACATTGACTTACTTTAAGAATCCTATCTTTTACTTTTAAACAACATTTATTTATTAACCCTGTCCAACCCCACTTACAATCCCTGCAGAAGCTCCGATGGTCTCCGGTCGCAGCTCCCGCCGGACTTTTTGAATGCTCTACGTCCCTCTTCTCTGGCTTCACTTCACACACAAGCTCCCTGGACCTCCCCTCCTCCACAACACGCTTCAACCATGGGTCTTCAAAACTCATCTCACTGGAAATAGAAGCTAAAAGCGGTGCATTATATTTGCCTGGGTCTTTCATTAAGCTGGTCTTGGTAGGTGAAGAGAGGATGGTTGGTTCCTGTATAACCATGGGTTTGACACTGATGGTGGTCTTGAAGGGAGAGAGGTTACCAGGTCTTGTCAGAATTTGGATGTTAGTTTTAGCCATGGATGGAGGCAGTTTCCTCAGCCTGTCTTTGGTTGCAGTAGCCTTATTACCCCCATTTTCTGACAGCACCACCTCTTCTTCTAGACTCCCCCTTCTCGGGCTGCCACCATTCTCATAAGCACCCAGACCCTCCAATCCGAACGAAAGGCTCTGGTTGGGTTCAGGTTCAGCCAGGGCCTCCCCTTGCTGGCTCTGGGACTGACTGAAGCTGTGGAGAGACTGGTCAGCTTCACTGCCCATGCTCAGATCACTCATCCAGGAGGAGATGGGTGAACCACAGTTAGACATCACTGTGGAAAAGGCTTCACCTTCTATCCGCAGCTTGGCCATGGCCACCTACAATAGGACACAACTCAATTGGGTATGACATCTTAAAATTCAAAAAACAATGATTTACACAATGATTACACTATGAACTATGAGCATTGAATTACATAAGATCCAGGCGCTGGTCAAGTAGTGAAAGATTTTATTCAAATTATGACAGCTAAAGATTATTTTGTCAAATTAAGTGTTATTGAAGATAATAAATACTGTAAATCATACGGCGATTTGAATCCAAACTTTTAATCGAAGGTATACATGTGATTGATTGATTGATAATGGACTCACTGAGTCCATCATTCAATCAGATGAGACAGAATTTCTCGCAAGTGGCAGCCATGTTGGCCCCACAAGCCGTGTTGATCTGTATTTGGTTCTGGCTCGAATATCATCATATCAGCCATATGTGTGAACATTTGCTTTAGTTTGGGATACATTTGCACATGCCAAATGATCTTACTCACCGTAAATGCAACGTGAGTCAGTGACACTAACCTCTGCCATGGCAGCAACATCTGTAACGCCTGAGGTTGTTGCAGGACCTGCAGGCATGTGATAATCCTCCACAGCTCCATCCTCGACAGTACTAATGAAGCAGGATGCTTGAGAGCCTGAAGCAAGGGCAGTGACGGAGCAACAATGACTTTTGAAGCTGATGATGCTCGTTGGACGACAGGTGAGGCCCTGACTCTCCATAAGAGCTGTAACATCAAGGGCGTCCTCCCCTCCAGAAGCTACAGTGTACACCGGTTCATCCTCCCCAAGTGAGATCGGTCCAACTGCTCCGACAGAAGCTGCTGGTCCTGAGGCTGCAAGTGGAGTGTAAGAACCAGGTTACCACATTTATGTTGTTAGTTTCCTCGCTGTTCATATTTGTCCTCATAATTCTCTTTCTTTGTGTATGACTCATATGACCTATTTTTGCATCTCAACCTCCTTTCCTTGTATAAAAATAGCAATGTTTTAGTTCAACTCACCATCCCTGTGCGTGTCCAGAGGAATCGGTGGGACGTCATCGTCACAGAGTGTCTCTGCTGATCCCAGGCTGGCAGACAAAGACTGTGCTGGCTCTCGGACTTGTGGGCTCATGCCCACCGGAGGAGTCCTGGACAGCAGGGAATCTGTGGAGGATCGACCGCTGTCTGCAGCCAAACTGTCTGCAGAATCAGAGACACACATTTGCCGTCGTATCTCATTTTGTTTTCCAAGTGCAGAATAGAAGGAAATTGGCTTCACACTATGATGCCAATTTGGAACCACTGGCTATTTTACTGATAAAATGTGCTGCGCTGTAGTGACTCAGTATGTGGCTATATTTTAAATGGCTTAAGACATTCATGTAGACTCTGTTATCAACTTTTGGCATACAACAGCAACAACATTATCTGCCAGAGGGAGATGCGTGTAAGGACTCCCAATAACAGGTTGTTCATACAACATTAAGACATAAGCAGAAGCAATACAGCACTGCATTCTAAAGCATAAACAGAGAAAGAAGCATACTGTCTGAGGTCAAAGCATCTGTGGCCTGTCCGTCTTGAGCCAGAGTGTGTGAGGACATGGGGGGCGTTGCCAGCGTCACGCACTTCTGGGTGTACACTTTACACCGCTGGGAGGGGGAGGACGGAGGCCTGCAGAGGAATACAAGGATCAAACATTATGGAGCCGGTCTTTGGCGCTGCTGCTGCCTTCTTACACATTTAGACTGTCCTTCATTGCTGCTTACGGTTAATATAGTGAAAATAGAAATTATTTTTGTCTTGGTGTTTTTTAGACATCTTCCAAATTTCATTCAAACTGAAGTCCACAGTCAACGTTATTGTCCACACACACGTGTACCTTACCTGTAGTCGGAGGTTTTGGTCAGGCTGGCGATGCCGAGGCGTGGTGATCCTAAAGAGCGGGCCTTTCCCTCAGTGTTACTGCCCACATTCAGACTCTCACGGCTGTTTAGAGAGACAGTAAAGGAGACATCTTTTCAATTACAGTCAGATCCTTTCAAATGGCTGATAGCAACATATGAAAAACAAAATTCACACCAATCATACATAACTCCTCCTGTCCTCACCCGTCATGCAGGGAGCTCCTAGACCTGTGCAGGGCGTTAGAGGTGATGCTGCTGCTTCCTGTAACACTCCTGGTAGCTATGGGGGAACCAGAACTCTGAGCCAGGTTGTGGATCATTGTCTGAGCCAGCTCTGCCTCTTCCACCACCTCCTTGATCTCCTGTAGCTGCTGGTCATTGGTTCTCCTCCTGGAGGTTGCTGCTGTTGAGGAGGAGAACTGCACTGCACCTCCTACAGCACATGCAGAGCCTGTGGGATGTTGGACAGAACAATGTTTTTTAAATCCCTGACACTATAAAATGGGACTTGACTTGATGCTGAGTTACAGAACTACAATTGTAAAACACTTATATACAGCATATTTAGTCAAGGAATAAACCTGTTTTACTTTCTGTATCCAACACAGCAGCAGAGCCAGGAGCAGAAGGAGCTGAGGCTGGGACAGCTGAAGATGGACATGGCTCTTGTTTGGCACCTTGTTTGCTTGCTGGAACTTCTTCAAAGGGGAACTTTGCCACCTGAACAAAGGACAGAATGGATGAAAATGAGAAATGGAACAGAGGCCTGTACAAAATACTTTAACAATGAAAAGGTAATGCCTTTTCAAATGCGTTTTTGAAACACAGTTGGAAGCACATGCTTATTGAAAGGCACAGAAAATGAATCCCACTAACATAAGCTGTGACAGCAAGAAAAAGGTTATGCAGATACTGTACATGCAGAACATACTAAACAGATACAAACAAAACCCTTTTTCCATTTGAATAGATAGTGTTTAACTTGTCAAACAACCCATCAAATTTAAATATAGCATCTCTTTCTCTTCTCTGCTATATTTAGTTGTTTTTCTTTTAATAATAAAAAAAAGAAATGACAGAAAACTCAAATCACCTCCTCGCTGCCATCAATGCAGTCCAGTCTCTCCTGCAGCTCAGCAAAGGTGTTGCATTTCAGGCACTCGGCTCTTTCCTCTGGGACAGGGGCCAACGGCTGCCCAAGCAGTGACTGAGAGGGCTGAGACAGAGGCTGAGAGAGGACACTGGGTTGGTCTTCTGGCTGAGACTGCACCTGTTGGAACAGAAATCATGAGTGAGTTGCATCAAATATTATTCAGATTACTGCAGATTGTCTAAATATTATATTTACACTAAAATGTAAATATAATTTAACTACCTTGTTCTGGGCTCCAGCTGCCTGACTTTGACTTTGTGTTTGATGCTGTTCTGACGTTTTACCTCGAAGCAAAGCAGGAATAATTGGTACAAATTCTGGTGGTCCCTCGTTGTCCGTAAGCTCTTTATCTGACACTGCAGCCCCATTCGGGCCCACGTAGATCACCGTGTCACATGACTGCTCGCTGCTCGAATATTCGTCAGGGTCACTGGACAGTCGCAGCAACGGAAGGTCAGAGTCGGTGTCACCTCGGTGATGGAAAGGTCTCAGATGGGTCGGACGACGCATGCGACCCTCCTCGCAGGAGCTCTCTCCTCCAGAGGAGCTGGAGGTGTATTGCTGAGGAGGGATAGAGACAAGCAAGCAAGAGGCAGAGGTGGTGGTGAGAGAGAAATATTCCCTTTTTAGATTTGCAGAGCATGATTTTTTTTTTTTTTCATTTAATTGACAGTTCACACCGGAGAGAGATGGAATAGAGAGAGAAAAAGATGACATTCACTCGAATCCTGGACATGCAGCTTAGCCAAGTAACAGATTTAAGATAAGAACTTAAATTTAATTTACTTATTTCTATCACAAACTGGCACTTTCATGTATCTACTGACTTCAGTTTTATTTATATTTTTAGAGCTCTCAAGCCCTCACCGCTTTTTCTTCAGCCTAACAATTTTGAAGTAAGTGATCATGAAAGGTGAAAGATGAGACAAGGTGACAGCAGCACATGTGGTGCATGCAGTGACTTTATCTTGAACTTAATATACCTAAAGTTTCAGTTTCATGAAGCATTAAGGTTTGACTAAAACTCACCACTGTGACTTTAGTTTTCTTCTTTTTCATGCGGAGGACACGGGAAGCAATCTGGATGGTTGACAGGGTTTCTGAGAAATCTCTGGGTGAGGCAGAGATGTGAGCAATCATGGTGGTCCGGCAGTTCATGTTGCCTAGCGACTCCCTTAGCAACATGGTGAGTTTGCTGTCCCTAGTAACAGACACACGCCGAGATGTGAGCTCTAAATGCACTTTGGAAATGCACACAGTTCCTCTAACAGACACCCACACACGTATGACATTTGACGAAGGATTATTAATAGCTCGGCTTTGTTACAGTCTATGTAGTAATGACACTAGGCTAGCATATTCATATAAGTGAAATGAAGATTCAAGAGGCAAAGTTAATGGTAGTTATTGATGATGTCTATTGATCAACGCTGCTTAAACACATGACAGTTTGCTATCCAAGGCTAAAGCTAACACAGTCTTAAAAGAAGCACTCTGGATATTATGTAGCCCAATATTGGGAGATGATCTATCTCCCAGAGAGATTACACAAGCAGATGGGAGAGTAAAAGTAGGCTGTGTGTTAAAGAAACGACTTTCTCCTGGGTGGGCTACTGCAATCATTCATTGCCTTTTGTGAGTGTGTGTGTGTGTGTGTGTGTGTGTGTGTGTGTGTGTGTGTGTGTGCGCGTGTGTGGAGGCCTGCAGGCTGATGGTGAGTAAAGCTCCTCTGTGGCCCAATACCTCACGCTGCTGTCCCCCTTCTCTAAAAACACAGCCTGCAGGCACGTCTCACACACGTATGTGCACAGCCTCACATCCTCACAGATACACACACACACGTATGTATACACTCCTATCTTGACCTCCTCTTTCTCGTTCATGCTTCTCTCCTCTCTTTTCTCCTTTCTCAGTTTGCTGCCTCAGGCTTCAACAAACCCTCGTCTCTCTCCCACCTAGATCTTTCTCTATCTCGATATCGCTCCCCGAGATTAATGTAAGTAAATCCATGACTCATGAAGTATCCATTTGCATGTTACTTGAAGTGCTGGGGATGTTGAATGAGATCTAACCTCTCAGTCTGTGCTAAATGTATTACCCTTTTCTTTTCTTTTCTACCAGGGAAGACTACTGTATGTGGCATGATGCTCTCTTTGATTAAAACTAGCCTATAATCGAAGCAGCTTCTAAATTCATAGTTCACCATTATTAGACACTAATATTGAGCAGCACAAATAAAGAAGCCACATTGCAAACACGCTCACTCACAGCTTTTATACTTATGTATGACTGAGCTAATAAATTAAGGCGATCTAGACTTTCCTGAAGTGCGCTGGAATTTCTATGCTTATATTGCTAATATTAGCAATCGCAATGGTCAAGCAGGATATTGGATAATAGAACAACTGACTGTGTTCCTGCAGTGCCTTTAGATACTCCAGACAGAGTGGGGACTTTGCAAGGAGAGAGATACAGCAAATCAGATGGAAGTGGGGGGATTTTTGGACAAGGAGCTTCAGACAGCCCCTGATGAGAAAGGTTTAAGTTTGGTGAACGTGAGAAGAGCCTTTAAATCTACATGAGCATGAACCGCTGTCCGTCTGCCTGTCACGCTGAGATGCTTCGATTCATGTCTGGACAAGAGCCAAAATCTTGATTTTGTGGTACCAGACAACTGTCTGCCCTTTTTAATTGAACTGGGAAGCTATATACACATGACAACGTCTACTAATCAACTGGGATGGAATCACCGGTTACCTAGCAACAGCACTGGAACAGGACTGGGATTATAAGAACAGGATAGGACCCCATCCCAAAAGTATTGAAGCACTGGGAGACTGTTACGGCCTTTAACTGTGATGAAAGGATTGGAGCAGATTTCTTGGGCTCAAACTAGATTCATGCACATTTTTAGTTTAGTCATTTCTTCCAATATTTTCACATCACAAGAAAGAACTTTTTAACTGAGGCTCAGTTTGTCAGTTGTTTTCGCCCATTTCTTTAGTCCAGACTGAAACATCTCAGCAACGACTACTGGATGGTTGAAGTGGAAGTTATCCACGATCACCACTGACATCAGCTTGTGCTCCAAAGCCTTTGCTCAGTCATTTGTGATTCTGTGGTGACCGTTATGTTGAGGATCCTTGGTTCCAGAGAAGTGGCAGTAACACTGCATACATTTGCTAAACCAGTCCAAATCCCCTGACAATCCGACAACACTCCGAGTCATCAGTGCCAAACCAGACTCAGCACAGCTTTGCTTGCAGCTTCAGTGTTAGGTAGCGTAGCAGGTTGTTTTGCAATGTAAATGCAAAAGCTTGTGATTTAATTAACCCAGCAAGACGCACAGAGCTACAAAGCCCTTAAGGGGAGTGGAACATCAAGAGGGAAGGTGGGAAGAAAAGGTAAAATGAGGACATTTACAGTTTGGTCCATCACCTGTACACTGCCTGAGCATGCCAATTGTTACTACAGCAATTATTGTTTTTTCCATGTTACATGTATTTTTATTCTATTACTGTTTTAGTCTAAGGTCTCTGACTGTGCTATCTCTCCATTTCTCCCCTCTCTCTCTCCTTTTCTCTCATTGGCAGTCAGTTAACCAGCAAAATGAATTTGATGAATATGTAACAGCAGCTGTTGTTGTTTATAGCATTAAGTCGCCAAATCCTGAAGCAACTTAAGAGATCGCTCGTATACTTTCCTCTCTTACTCTCCTCACAAAAACATCCTGCTATCCTTCTCATTTCTCCTCTCCACACTTCTTTTTCCAAATTGTTTTCTACCTCTATTTCTTCTCCTTACTTTATTAAAAGCAACTTTTCTCCTCTCCTCTCCTCTCCTCACACATACACGTGCACACACCACCTTACTTGTATGGGATGTGCTTGCTCCCGTTGACCAGGGCCAGGATCACGTTGCCGAGGGCAGATAGAGAAAGGCACAGAGGGGCCGAACTGGGCAAAGAGTTCTCCCTGCTTTTCACACTTTCTCCTGCTCCTCCTCCTCCTCCTCCTCCTCCTCCTCCTCCTCCTCCTCCTCCTCCTCCTCCAAGTACTTTGAGATCACAACTGCCCAAGTCCAGCAGGTGGAGGCGACTGCGACCTCCTGACACTTGGAAAGTGAGAAAATGTGTCAAAAATGGGGGAGGAAAGATGGAGGAGGGTAAGGGGTACGGATACAAAACTAAAGTACCCCTATCTATATCATTAAAAAAACAATTTCTGTGGTGGTATTTTTAGGAGTATAGACCGGTTTGAAAGTGTACAACTATTGAATGTACCTCTCAATATATCACAGGAATGTGTACTAACATGTACACTTAGCACATAGTTAATTGAAAACTTTGTTCTCTAAAGGTTAATACAGTGAAAAATGAATTAAAAGAACTTATGTAAACATGACTGAAGACATGTTGTGTTCCCACATTAGTGGTTTACGTCATCCTCAAATATCCTCATTGTCTGCATGTGATACATACACATGTGTGATGTGAATCAATCTGAAGAAAGATTTCAGGATCATACAGTCTGTGACAGGTATGTGCACTATTTATCCATAGTGACTATAAATAAATGCATTGATCTGTCAATCATTGTTGTGTACACACACCTTGCTTTGTCTTCCACATGGTGAAGCAATATTTCAATAGTAAACCGCACGTTTGCGGCTGCTTTTATTCTAATAGGATTATCAGATGTGGGACTCACAGCAGGCAACGTGTGATGTGATTTGAACACTACAGATACTGTAGTATCTGCAGCTGTAGAAGTAGTGATTGTTTCTTTGTTGTTTTTAATGTTGTAGTTATGTTAATCTTTTTATTTTTACTTTTGTTATTAGAACAAATTGTACTTACTTCCTCCTTTGCCTGTCTTTTCCATGCGGTACTGGTATATGTGTAATGTAAACAGCATGTGTGAGTTTCTGTGTTCTTCTTCGGTGGTGTTGGGGCGTTGGCTACTGTGGCGAGCTGCTATGGCTGCATCCAGAAACCAGGCTGCCTTCTCTGGGGTCGGAGCACGCAGTTCAGACTGGTTCTGGAGCTGGAAGATGTGTGGGAGGAGGAAGGTTGTGTGAATATAAAAAGGAGCCAGACAAGAGGGAAGGTACAATTTAATCTTAGCTAAAGCTCGATTTAGCTTCCAAGAAGTGTCCAAACACAGATAATACTGATACACTGATTGATTGGCATATTCAAATAAAGCATTTCCTAATTTGTCTGCAGGTATTGGGGACAGAGATAGAGAGAATGCAGAGGTGAGAACGAGAGACGGACATGAGTGTGTGTGTGTGTGTGTGTGTGTGTGTGTGTGTGTGTGTGTGTGTG